GTCGGAGCTACTACTGAAAAGGCTCTCCTCCGCGTAGTTGCCAGTCGACACTGACTGTCGGATGGAACTTGGAGGAGGCCTAATCTGTGTGATCTGATAGGTCGTAGGGAGGTAATTGGCAGGAGGCGGTCTCTCAAGTACTAATCATTAAACCATGCGTGTTAATTCAGTGTGATATATTGATTTGTGTAAAGAAAGAGAGAACTGGGCTCTCTTCTCTCCCCTCAAAATTTGGAATTTTATCCAGAAGTGCCTACTGTTGGAAGGAATATCTATCTGGTTCACTTCCAAGTTGGGATCAAAGCTTGGTTATGTAGGGGTCATAGCTGACTATATAGGCAAAAGAAGAAATGCAAATCCTATGTGTTTATCTGAGCTAATCTGGTCAACCTCTGGCTTATTGTTTATTTGAGCTCCCAGGTGAAGTTTGGACTGCTCTGGGGTGGTGCAATGAAGAGACTTGTATTCTGAAAGTGTGTTGGGCAATTCCTATTGTGCCTAATGGCTTTCGTCCTGTATTGGATCTTGGGTGAGGGCTGTTTATAATCCTACCATTTGCCTTTGTTTCAAAATATCCTGTCTTGAATGGATTACAAAATCTGCATTTCTAAAAAGTGACCTCCTCAGTTTCTGCTTGGGGCAGGGAAACTGGGGGTGGTTTCTGCCTCCCTTAAGATTTTTTATTACTCCTTTAGGGGAAATATTTTATCTTGTCTTTTTAATATTTCCCAAAATATTTCATTCTCCTAGGGGGGGATTACCACACTACCATGATGAGTGAGAAATAACCTTGGATAATTGATATACAATAGGAAGGCATCAAGTCCAGCACTCTAGTTTTCTATCTCATGCTGGAAAGTACAGTTGTTACCACCTACAGATTGTCTAACTTCTTCAAAACTAATCTGTTGTCTTCAGGTATGCCACTTTATCGTGTAATTCGCTTAGCTTGCTCATAGAGTTCAGCACAAACATAATGTCTGAATGTGCATAATTTTTGTTAGTTACCTTTCACAAGTTCAATGATGCTTGTATGTTGTTGAAATCTCAGATGAAGCCATACGCTAGTTAATTCAAATTAAAAGAAATCATCAAGAGTACATAGTAAAAGATAGCCGGAAGTCTTCAAGACTGATTACCCTCTCTATACTACACTACCTCCTTTGAGCTTTTGGAAATGGCTACAACTGCAGCCATACATTCTATGAATATATTCCGATCTGCCGGCTCATTTTGCTACCTTTATGTTGACCACTGATAGGTGGCTTCCAGCTCTGTATCTAAAGGCCTTGGCTATCAGAAAGCCCACTTCTATCTGAAGAGTTATTCAGTCTAAATTCAGATTAATGCCAATCAAAGATAAGAGTACCAATTACTTCAAGTGGCTTATCACTAGACAATTAGATGGAATGATTCAAACAAGTGGGATGAGGTTGGAAGAAATGTCCATCTGGGTTCAGTCCCAAGTTGGAAGAAAGACACTGGAAGTCTGATTGGTTGTCAGGCTCCCATGTGACCGGTAACTTTGCAGGGGTAACTTTGTAGTGTCTTGAGTCCCAGGCTTGGTTGAGTGATGTAAGCTTTGGTTGCTGGGTGATGTAATCTCCCCAGGTGCCACATGGTGAGTTCTGTTGCTAGATGGGTAGAGATGATCTTACCTTTGCTGGATCTTGGGCGAGGGCATTTGCTTATTAATTGACCTATCTATCTCTTTATCTCTTAAGTGCTGGCATCTGCTGTGGGCTACTGGGGAGGGTGGGGCTATTAACAGTGAGTCTGCTTCCTGCCTAAAAAAAAAGTGTTTCTCCATTTCTCATCCAAGGAAATATAATATTCTGCCTTTTAAATATTTCCTAGAATATTCCATTCTTCTAGGAGAGGAGTGGGTGCTAATTTCCTACAATGTGGAAAGAAGCATCCCTTTAAAATTAAAATTAAAATTATGTAGTCCTTTATCACTTTGAATAGTTCTGAAAGAAGTAGGCAAAAATCTCCAATATTTAATATTAAACTACACCATCAATATTTCAGTAATGGTTAGTGTTGGGGAAAAAGAATGGAAGGGAAGGGGAGAAAAGTAGCATCAAAATTAACATCAAAATTCCTGTTCATAATGTTTTTATGTATATTTTTCATTTTGTCATTTGTATGTTGATTTTTTATTTCTTTGTATTCTTTAAACTTATGCAATATAATTAAAAATCTATTTTGTGAACCATAAATTATTTTCTTGCTGAATTTCCCCCCCCAATGCTTTTAAACAAACTGTCCTTTTTTAATATAAAAAAAAGGATTTTAAAAGAAGGCTGTTACTGTTTCTATTAATCCAGTGATGTGACATTTCAGTGCAAATTGAGGTGGGAAGATTTCATTAATTGCTTTTGCTTACAATAGCACACTGCTAAATATCAAATATGTGGTTTTTCTTTTCTTAAAAATATGGTTAAATGAAATTTAATATCTTTTCTAGTAATTGCGAGTTTTCGAGGAACACTCCCTCATGGTTTATCACTGGAGATTGGAGACACTGTTCAAATACTAGAAAAATGTGATGGTAAGTGTTGAAAAAGCAAGCAACTGTCATTTGACAAGAGACTTCAAAATCAACTCACCTAATTATGCTAAAGTAAATATAAATGTTTGCTAAAGTTGAAAACTTATTTAATAAGAATAAAAGCCAAATTAAATTTTGTATGAGCAAAAGATTATTGAAATAATAGATGCTTGAATAACAGTAAAAATTATCCAGTCTGAAATGTCTCAAAATAATCTATCCAGTTTGTTGCTGTAAAAAGATAGCTCTAATTGCAAAGAAATAATTATTCTGTATATAGTAATATATTTTTATTCTAACAATAACTATAGATTAAGATCTGATTGGAGTATACATTACTTCTTTATAATGAACTGTTAAATTCTTTCCTCAAAAAGATTAGTTTATATATTTTGAATTAAGTTCATAAGATTGTGTTAGATTGAGTGTTATTGTATGAAGGTACATATATTTGTACGATGTAATGAGATATAGCAGGGATATCAAACACAAGACCCGTCGGTCAGATTTGGCCTGTGGGGTAAAAAGATCTGGCTTGCGGGCCTGCCCTGGGAACAGCGAAGGACAAATCCACAGTGCCTCTGCCAGCAAAAATGAAGTTCAGCAAGACTATACGAAGCCATCCCGGGCTCCATTTTCGGTCACGATGTCCTCCTGTAGCCCTCTGCCAGCTCTGTTTTTGCTGGCAGAGGGCTGCAGGAAGCCATCATGGCCCTAAATGGAACCTCGATGAGTGATGGTGAGCTGGCCATGCTCCTGGCCATTCCCCCGGCTCCCTGATGTCAAACACAACCCTGATGCGGCCCTCAATGAAATCAAGTTTGATGCCACTGAGATATAGTGTAGAAAATAGAGCACTGTAGAAATGGCACAATACTCTGGAGTTCTTTTGTAAGATTTTGCTAAGTCTTTGTCACATGCATTCAAAGCAGGGGTGGGTTCCTGCCAGTTCTAACATCTTCTATAGAAGAGGTTCCACAAATCTACAGTGCCGTTTAGACCCGGTTCCAGCCCCCCCCCCCCGCCGGTCCGCACATCATCAAGATGAAGAGCTAGAGGAGGAATTCTGGGAGTTGAAGTCCACAAGCTGTCAGGTTTGAACA